CCAGGAGCGACGGTGGCCGCGCGCACGCACTCCCACACGCACGGAATTTCAGGAGCACGCGATTGTTAAACCCTACGCTCTCTCGGCATCCGGTCCCTGGAAGTTCCGCCGTGCGACCCCACGGACGGACGGACGAACGGACAGACCGACCGACGTCAGCAGGGATGGATTTACTCTCCGCCAGTCGGCGAGCGGGAGTTAGCTAACGTTAGGTACGCCGGCCGCACGACAAACCCCGGTTTATCGCGGCGACAACCGCCGGAATGTGTACCGCCGTCGTTCAGACTCACCCCCGTCCACACCGACTCTTATCTGGCCGAATTTCCCTCCTAATCGTGACGAGTGATCGCGGACGATTACCCCGGCGACGCGTGGTCGCATTGACTTGCTCCGAGACGGAAAATAATTTCGTAGAGCCGCGTCTGTGCGCGTTACCACTCCTTCGAATTTCCTTTTTGGCGATTTACGATCTTGACAGAACTCGGGAGGGTGTCCTGTTCACGGAAAAAGGGAGAAGATGTTGAAGGAAAACGAAATGTCATCCCTGAATGTGTATTTTGAAATTTCGTTCTTCTGTCTCTTGGGGATACAAAAATATAAATGATAATCGCGGACGGTATAGTGTTATTTCTTCGCTGTCGGGGGTAATATAACTGAAAGAGATAATTATAGACGTGACTACAGTGGCAGGAAGACGAGGAAGATGCGGGCGGGAAACGAAATGTCATTTTTAATATGTATTTTGCAATTTTATTCTTCTCTATCCCTTGAGGGATGTGCAACAATAAAAGATAATTATAGACGTGACTATAAAGAGAGACGTGAAAGACCGCGATGCGCGCCGCCGCAAAGGGTGGAAGGATGAGAAATTAAAAGAAAACTTCGCACTTCTACCTTGCGGCTGTTCGTGTCGATCTTTTGTATACTTTCTCGATTTTGCGATCTTTCGACTTCAACTCGTCGAACACTGCCGCAAGGTCCACGGTGGGGATGGGAGGTGGTGGAATCTTTATTATAATATCGCGGCGTATCATTAAATTACGTGGGGAAAATATAGCAAAAATTGCAACAAAGATTTCGACAACTATACAAAATTATAATTGAAAAATTATATATATGGGGTGTTTCTTTCCTCCACCTACTAAATATATGTATAGCGTTATTCTTCATGGAAAGCTGAATCGAAAAGTCCTGAGTCATTTTTTTGTCAAAACAATTTCTTTATAATAACTCTTCAACATTTCATATACCTTTACAGCTAAGCTCCAAATTAAAAATCTGTTCAAGTAAAATCCGCTTGAAATTAATCGAAGAATATAGATTTACTATCCATTTTGGTCGTCCGAAATTTTTACAAGGAATAACGTTATACTTAGTGGGCGGAGGAAAGATAACATCTTATATATAAATATTTGTTTAAAAATATTATACACACACGTTTGATCTTTTACTACAAATTATTGCTTGAATATTTTTTATATCGTACACATTCGGCGTACGATTACCGAGTTTATTGCACAGCACGATCTATTATTTGCTGCAGCAAACGTTTAACATTTTAACATTATTTTTGCAATAATATTTTCCCCGCGTATAAGATTTAATCAGTCGTATACGATGGATTAAATGTACGAGTAATTGTTGCTTTTTGTTCTTTTTAATTTACGTATAAATTACCTTTATCATTTTTCACTTGGTGCGTGTTTTACCGTTGAGAGGTCAAAAATATGGCCAATAGGAAGTTAATGAAACGAACCGGCCGGCACATGCATCACGGCTCGCGTTTATCCCGCGTATTTTCGGTTATTTGCTTCAGCCGCGCTTCGAAATAATTAATGAAAATCATCGCGGGTACCGGTCGACGTGCAATTACACGATTTACGAATCACCGGATATTTGTTCTCTGCGTGCGCTTCGCTGCGCGCAAAATCAGCAAGGTGGTTGGATCCTCTCCCCGCGGATCTCTCCCGCCGACGGAGTCGCACTCGGTCTTGATAGAAGTAACGTCTTTGTGTCTTCTCGCGCTACGAGATCTGCCGGGGACGGACGAACGAGAACGTAACATTATATTCCGCTCTGGGGTCATCGATCTTTTCGCAGCGAGGGTTTCTTTTCTTTGCCTCTCTTGCTCTTCCTAGACGGATGGCGAGAGAATTTGTGTGTGTATATGTGTGCGCGCGCGTGCGCGTCCCTCCACACAAAGGTGCACGCACTCGAGCGAAGTCGTAAGTGCTGGGTGAGCGCCTAATCGCGGTTCAAATTAGGGCGGACGATAACCGCGGTAAACGACACGGCGCGGCATACAAAGGCGACCCTTCGCGCCTCGTAATTTCGGATGTGATGCGGCGATTTTGTTTGCGGGGAGAAGAGGGGGGCGAAAAGTGCGTATTCGCGACTCACTCACTCGCCCGCTCGCTCGGTGACGCCTTGATGGATGAGAAACAATAATGGCAGCGATTAGAGGTTCTCGCAGGAAGCGCATTAATGGACCTACCTCGTTCGCTCGCTCGCTCAATCGCTCGCGCTTTTCCCGTTCCCAGGTGAGGGTGGGGAAAGGGCTTGCGCGCTGTTCTTTCTGCGCGTGAGCCTGTCGGAGTTTCTTGGAGAGTGATTTCCCGTCACTCTCAGAATTGCGCCTCGTGCTGCGTTATCGTTCAGGTTGCGCGTTCGGAGAACGCGAAGCGGGAAAGGTTCGTTTGCTTTCCGCGAGGGGCGGAATAAAAATAAGACTTTCGGTACACACGAGATAAGTACTCGCGAAAACTGTTTGCCCAGCTCACAAAGAGACTCGTAGGACTGAGGAGAATTTAAAGAATTCAAGAGACTTGAGTCTTTATTAGAGAGAGGATTTACAAGACCTATGAGATATATCGTTCTACGCGTATTAATAGCCGTGACTTGAAATTCATCGCATCCGAGATTCTCAGATCTGAATTTAGAGTTAGAGATGTTTTTCTTCCCAATTTTCCTTAGTAAGAAGAAATTTATTTTTAAGTTATGATTTTTAACTAAATATTTTTTTAATTAAACTTTTAGTTTAGTTGAACTTTTTTAAATTTTAGTTAATTTTTTTAAGTTTCAGTTTAGTTTTTTTGGTTATTTTCGAAATTATGATTTAACTAAAATATGATATTAGTGACATTACACTCGTAATTGTGATTGAATAGAAAAATTCACATTCTTAAACTTAAATCTGAATATCTCATATGAGATAAGTTTTAAGTCATAATTGTTAATACTAAGAGAAAGAGAGAGAATAATGTCCCAAATTGCATGGTTCAAGGAACTATGTTTTAATGCACATACCTTTGAAACGTATCTCATCGGAAATATCGGCGAGAGTAACGGAGATATAGTCGACCCGCTGACGCGGCATCGCAATCTCGCGAAATGGTATTATGCGCGTAAAAAATACATCGGCAAAGTGGTGCTTTTATGCGTCCTGAGCTTTAAGACGCGACCGGCCAGACGAAGTACGAACTCGCTGAAAGAAGAGTGTACACACGAGGAAAAAGAAAGCAGATCGGTGAAATTTCTCTCTCTCTCTCTCTCTCTCTCTCTCTCTCTCTCTCTCTCTCTCTATTCGCCGACTTTACATTACGTTTCCCCAAAAGAAAATGGTTGAAGCCGGCAGGAAGAGATAGATGGTGAGAGGCGCAAGGGGTGGGTCGGACGATGGAGCGTAAAGCAGCGTGTTGAAGGCAAATTAAAGAGGAGCTTGCGAAAAAAGGGAGAAAGGGTGGAAGGGAAGGCGCGCCCGCTCGCGCGGAGTGCCGCTCTCACCCTCGAGTCATTAAAAACGCGGTCGTCGTTCTGGCCATTAGAATGACAAATGACATCGTTGACGGTGCCAAATTAGCACGATGAAAGGACGACAGACACCGCGAAAGCCCGATATGCTCGCGTGCGCCAGTGTAGGTGTGTGCGTGTGCGCGCGTCAGACAGTTTGTAAAATCTCTAAAAGGAAGATTTACCGTCCTCTCTCTCTCTCTTTCATGCGCGCGCGTGCGCTCGCCATTAAAACGGCGACAATCACACCTCTTTGTAAACTAAGTGTAATTCAATTTATAATACGTTCGACTCACCATTGTCATTATCATTAACATCGAGAAATAATACAACACGCGGTGATGCCGCGGCCAATTCTGTCTGATCGAATCGGAATTCCGAGAGAAAGGAGACGTGACGATCGAACTACAGTCAAGTCTCCTATCTGCCTCTTTGTGCTTTTGCTCCTTACTTTAGACCGGAATCGTATTTGGAAGTTACTTTAAGCTTATTTCCGAATCTCCTCCCCTTTATAAAAATATTCCTAAATTAAATTGGAATTTATATTCCGCCTACTTTTTTCTTTTCTTAGCATCACGTTTTCGTATATTGCTGGTGAATAAGAGAAAAGGCAATTTCCTTCCTTTCTTCTGTTTGAAAATTTTTTTAACATTTTCCTATTCCATTTATTTATTTTCTTGTTTTCACTTCTGCTGTCATCTTTTTTTTCCATAATTCTGCTTAGTTTATCGTACCAAAAGAGATATACATTTCTAGAAGTAAATAATTAATAAAAAATTTCGAATATTCCCCGTCTCCCCGAGTCGGGGCAGGATTGAAGTGTTTAGTTTCGCAATTTTCGGGATGTTAGAGACGCGAGTCGCTCCGTGGGCCAACTAATAAACCGGTCCAGCGGGGGTGGACTTGGCCGTTTGCTCGGCCGGCGCTCAATGTTGCGTACTTTCGATGTATATTCACTTATTAAGATTAAAGAGTATTTATAGAACCTCCGGAGGTTTCCCATTAAGTAAGCGTGCACTAGTCATTGGATTATTTCATAATTACCTGAATAATCGGCTGGCCGCTGGAAATTCTTCATCGACTACCGCTGCTCTTCTTCGCCGTGACGTTGAGTCGCGACAATCGCAAATAATGCAATTTTAATGACCTGCCGGTTGCGGCAATCGGATTTAACGGTCGACTCGATGCGGCTATTACAAATACGCGACCCCGTAACGCGATGGGATTACGTCATTACAGAGATTATGTTTTTCCGCCCGCGCAGGAGAGAAAGGACATTTCGCTGTGAGACGGGAGAGGGGGGAGGATATTGCAAAACGGACTGAAACGACAGGATTTCGTGAAATTCTCGTTTTCGCTTCGCTAAAAGTTTTATTTCGCCCGTCGCGCCCTTTAGGCCCGACGTGTCTCTCTGTACGTGTATGAATGTATATGTATGTTGTGTGTGTGTGTGTGTGTGTAGTCTTGTTGTGTGCGTGTATGCACACGTGTCTCGTGTCACAGTGTGATTGTAAAATGTACGCGTTACACCTCGATGTTCGCAGTCGCTTACACGTAAGTATGTATGTGTATGTGTGTGTGTGTGTGTTCGCAATTAATACAATATAATATGTATAGTTTTGTTACTTTTTTTGTTTCTTTATCTATTTCGGTAGCATACAAAAGGATACAGGCACACAAATATCAAATATGCATTCGGTACTCGTTTATGCTATTGATCAATATAATTACACTCACAATGTGGTGGTACCGCCCCTCTGTGCTCGCTCGCTCGCTCGCTCTCTCTCTCTCTCTCTTTCTCTCTCTCTTGCTCGTTCTCGCGCTTGTCTCACATTACGCTAATATGATACAGATATATACAGAATGTGTTCGCTCGCGCGCTCCAGCGCGCATCTGCGGGCGCATATTTATAATAGGTTTACATATACGCGTATGTATAAATTACAGTCGCTATGTACATCGAGAGAGAGAAAGAGAGAGGGAGATTATACGGCGTGCGTACGTTAATACCCATCCGGGTGGCGGAGAGTTTTCCTACGCTATCGCTTGTGCTAAATCTATGATAAACCATCGTCGCCATCGCCGTCGTCGCCACCGCCATCGTCGTCGTCGTCGTCGTCGACGACGACGACGACGACGACAAACCTGCGCGCCGCGTTAGCTTTTGCCATTATCGCTCTCTCGCGATCGATCTCGCGTGCGCTCTCAATGAGTCCGCGACACATCAGGTTGTTAGTCAGCTAATTCCTCGCGCCGGAAATCACTCTGTCACGCGCGTCGATCGCGGTTCGTTCCGACTCGGGTCCAACGGTAATCCAGCGCGAGTCAAATCGCGGAATCAACCGCGACAAATGATAACGCCGGTTAACGTAACGAGGCAGGAAGTTAGACAGAGAAAGGGAGAAAGAGAGAGAAAGGGGAGGAGGGTAGAAGCCGTATTGTAAATCGAGATTTAACGAAACAGCCGTTCTCTCGCTGGCTGTCTACGATAATTAATAGGAAGGCAGTTCTCTCTTTCTCGCACCCTCCTCCCTTCATCTATTAAGTCGGTGAACAAGATTTGTCATTTTTCTGTTAAATTTTCGTGGGAGGTTTGGTATTAAAAGCAAAATACAAAAATCTAGTTAGTCTAAAAAAATATTTAGTTAATGTTGTTAATTTTATTCAAGCGCTCAATATTCAAAATAAAAAAGAAACTTATTAAATATTCAAGATTGAATTTTATTCGATGTTCAGAATAATAGAAAAACATATTATATTATATTAAAAGTATCAAATAATAAGTGAAATAGTAAGTCTGAAAGTAAGATGAAAATTTCGACACGGGAAAGCTTAAATTCGACACAAGTGATTCTGCATTGTAGAAAAGATTTGGCGAATCTTACTCATCAACTCAAAATACCCTGACGCGACACCATAATCGATATCCGGCGATTCGTAACGTAACACCCGCACGTATAACGCGCATAACGCGGCTCCAAGACTTGGTCGATTAATTCAAGACCTGGAGGTTACCCGGTCTCTCTCCCTTTCTCTTTCTTTCTCATTTCTCTTTGTTTTTTTTTCCATCCTGCTCGTAGAGACGCGCGCGTGTACGCACTCTCACGTGTCGTCCTGTAAAGGATGAGCTGGTCCCCGGCGCTTTCCGTCGCTCTGGGCCGCGAGCTTCTTCCCGCATTTCTCATGTCAGACGGGAAAAAGGGTTGCACGTGTGATTTATGCGGGGCGAGGGGGGAGAGGGGAAGAGAGATAGGGCGAGAGAGGGGGGAACTTTCCCCCGTGTGTGCCAGCGCATTGTGCACACGGCTACGTAGCGATGCAGAGCCGATCGCGTCGTCGTGTCGTATCGCGGTTATATCGGTGGACCGCACCGCGCGGCTCTCTCCTCTCGCCTCTGGCCTCGACGGAAGAGGAGAACTTACGACTTCGCGTAGAGAGGAGCATCGGGTGCAAGGGACTCGTATGCGCGAGAGACAGCGCGAACGAGACGCGCGGCGTTATCTCGCGATAGGTGCGAGAGTGTGCGCGCGCGTAGCGATAGGAATTTAGCAGTGCGCGCGTACGAATCCGCCCTTCGCACCTGGAGGATTATTAACGTGTCTCGCTTCGCTCGACAGGGATAACTCAAAATTACGACCGTGTCCAATCTCAGTCGGCCGGCCGGTCGGCTCCTAGTCGGTGGATAATGGCGTCCGGTTCTCCGTCGTCTCGAACTAGTTCCTGCGGCCAGTTGGTGCCCAGTACTACACTCCGTTATTTACGTCTTCGAGGAGTGTCTTTGTGTCGCGGAGGCGAAAGCTCTCGAAAACTCCGCGACGATCTCGCGAGCTCGTCGCATTGTCTCGTCGCTGTCGGTCTCGTGGTCGCGCCTCGCTTCCGTGCTCTTGGTCCGAGTAGAAATAGAACGGAGTAAAAATCTATCTTTACTCGCGCGGGGGAGAGCGGGTACTCAGAGCGCAGGGGAGGAGTGTAGTCGAGGATGCTCCTTGAGGTGAGAGAACGTCGCGAGTGAGGACGACGAGCGAGAGAAGGAAGGAAGAAGCGCGAGCAAGTTGCACGGTCGAATGAAATGTTGATGAGTCAGCGTAAGAACGGAACAAAGAGTGCGGCTAGAAGTGGCCCAGATTCATGGCCCAAAGTTTTCAGATCATTTTGGGCTTAAAAGAAAGTTTATAGTGCGTAGATTGCGTGTAAATATGCAAGGTCATTGTGATCGGACTTCAGGTTCCAGAGATATGGCCCATTGGAAATGCTACTTTCAATTTCCAAATGGCGCCGTGCTTTCGCGAGAGAAAAGCGTAGTTTCTTTTGAATTAGATCGATCTGTATTGTCAGTGAAGATCAAAGAGATACAAAAGCGTTTGGCGCGTAATAACCGCGGTTTTAACGCGGGAAGCACTGGCGCCACCTGGTGAAACAGGAATCTTTAATATCTTCAATAGGCCATATCTCTGTAACCTGAGGTCCGAGCACTTTGGCGCTTGCATATTTATAATCTACGCACCGTGAACTTTATTTTGAGTCCAAAATATCAGAACTTTTTAGCCATCTGGACGAATGCCTTGTAGGCACTTGGTCGCACTCTTCACGGATGATTCCGGCGGACGATCGTGCCGTCGCAGCGGGTGAGATTCAAATTCGCGTATCTCACTGGAGACAAATGTGACAAGTAACGACTATTAATATAGGTCTAAATTCAGATCCGAGTTATCTCGCGCGAGGCAAGCTTCAAGTAGCGACTATTAATACAGGTCTCAGATGTCTCACGAGCAGACACGAGAGTGTCTCACCTCGTCATCCGTATCTCTCCTCCCTTCTCGTTCCGCGGCCAGGATCCTCCTCGGGATCCTTCGTTTTTCTCCCTGCTCTGCAGAAGCCAACTTTCCGCGATCTCCCTCGCGCTTCTCAGATATCACAGCGACGTGAGTCGCACGTTGGGCGCTTGCTCGCTCGCCTCAAATTGACGATTACTGTCGGCAACGGGAACGGCGTTCGTCGAGGTGCTTGGCGAATTTTCCGCGTAGCGCGACGCGATAGCGCGAATCGGCGAGTCGATCACGGCGCCGTCGAGCGAGAAAATTTTCGAGAGTCGACGACGAAGACGGCGACGAGGAGGAAGAAGCTCGGCGAATGACGCCGACGTGTCGATCTCTCCGCCGCTTCTCCCGAAGAGAACGACGAAGAGGAGATCCGAGAAGAAGCTTTTTATCCTCTCCTCTCGGAGATCTCCTCTTCTCAGCGCGAGCCGGTCGCTCTGCGGACTCCTGCGCTCTCTTTCTCCTTATTACGATTACGACAACCGCTTGTACATGATACGTCTCCCGCCCCCTAAAAGACGACGATTATTATTGCGACAAAATTATTTGCTCGGTGCCCCCCAACTTAAGGCGCTTGAAGAGAGAGTGTGTGTCGTGTACGAATGTGTGTGTGTGTGTGTGTATCGTGTGTACCGTGTGTGTACGAGGTCCCTAACGGTTAATATTTACATTCGAGAAGCGTTTGAAGCTGTCACTCTTAGTTCCTGGTGGCTTTTTTTACGTTTTCGCTTTTTAATTAATTTAACATCCTACATGGCGACGATATCGATTAAACACTTAAATATACATAGCAATGTTCCGATCGTTGTTAGACGCGCTTGCACGCCGCTCTTGCCGCGAAAGGGCGCGACCTGCGCGGGGATGAAAGTTAGGGGGTGGATGGATGGATGGATGAGTGGGTGGGCAGGCGCTCGATTAAATTTCTCCTCGACGAGGCAGACTGTCTCTCTCTCGCGGCTTAATCGAAAAACCGATACGCTCGCTCGCTCGCGGACATCGGCCGTTCAGGTATTCGGAGTAAAAATAGCGGAACGTCAATCACAAGCATCGCGCGCGCGTGCGCGCACGGCGTATACCGATTTCGGCCGACGCGTGTATGAGAAATCAGGAATGCAACTTGCGGGAGGCCGGGGGGAATGCTTCTCCTTCCACGTCCCATTCGAAGAGCGATTTTCAGAAATTTGAAATTTTTTTTCAAAATTTTGAGCAAGTTGCTGAGGGAACAGAAAAGTGTTCACTCAAAGTGTTCAGATGATAGTACTCGATGAAACAAGCACGCTGCATCCTAATTCCGGAGACCAATTTTTGAAAGTTTGCCAGCCTAAGCAAGCGCCTAAACCGCAAAATCAAACAATGCGTTCTTTGAATTCGTTCCTCGTAAACACGGAAGAAAATATATCAAGATAGTTCGTGTTTACCCTTCGTTGATGTCGAATGATGTCGACTGAAGAAGAATAGTGCGTGGAAATGTTTTCCCCGATCCTGCAAGTCAGTTGCATTTCAGACTTCGTGTTTCCTGAATGTATGTTGCCGCGTTCTCGCATTTCTGCGAAAGAGGGAGGGGTAGAAAAAGAGAGAGAGAGAGCACAGTCCGGTGAAATGAGAGAAAAATTGAGCTTAATAGAACAGGGCCAGGTAATCCAGGAAAGTGCGGCGTCCAATGGATGACCAAATAATCGTACGGGAAACGCTATTTAAGCGGGCGAGCGCGGGTGGTAAAAGCGCCGAACGAGCCTTAAATTTCATGCCGCGTTCCACGTCAGATATTTAAACCGGTAATAAATTTTGCGCGCCACACACAGGTGCGAAGAGAGGGAGAGAGAGGGAGATGGGGGGAAAGAGGAAGAGGCAGAGAAAACGAGTCGTTCGTCGATCTAGCTGAGCGAAGAGAGGAGGGAGCGAGAGAAAGAGAGAGAGCAGTCGCTGCGCTTTACGGCAGCTCTTTCAGAACAAAATTCACGGGAGGAAGGAGGAGAGAAAGAGAGAGTTGCTCTCTTGTCCGCGCAGGGCACGCTTAAGCATATAACGTGTCTATATACGTGTTAGACGCGCGAGAGCCCGGGCTACTTTGCCGTTATATCACAATGTGGTCGAGTTCTTCTCGTGTATCTTGTATATTCGCACACGCGCGCGCGTGCGCGCGGCCGATATACTCGATTATATTTTACCCCCGTGTGTGCTATCGAGAAATTTTCCCTCTTATACCGCGTTTTGCTCGATTTACGTACGTACACATGTAGTTATTGTTGTCTCATCCCTGTATTGTCGGTTCCTTACGCTGGTAAATTCTCGATTTTTTCCTCGTTGCATGAAGGCGATGTCGGTAGAGATAGAGAAATAAAGTTGGGCTTATTAAATCTATCATACGCTTAAAATTCGTCGTCGTACGAGATACGTATATTACCTTTTTGTGTGTGTATATATATATATATATATTTATATATATATATATATATATATATATTTATATATTTATATTCATATTTATATATTTATATATTTATATATTTACTTCTCTCTTGCGTATGTATAATGTCGCGTATGTATGTGTGTGTGTGTATGTGTATATGTACTATGTGTATACATATATATATATATATATATATATATATATATATATATATATAAATTAGAGATTCGTCACAGAGCGCAGTGTGCGACAATAAATAATGCGCGACTGACGCGCGCGCGCAGTCGGGATACTGAATTATTTATGTGACGTCAGTCTTGAGTGAGGCTTGGGATCGAGGCTCGCTACCGTTCTCGCTCTTTTAAATATCGTCACGTCGATCTCTGCAGCGGCTTTTTCTCCCTCCCTTTCGCATTGCCGCGCCTCCCCGGGCCGTCGAACGTCAAGCGCCGCGGCGCCTGACGTTCGATCGAGCGCGCGAATAATTGAAACGCCCGCTTATTCCATCAAGCCGGTAATTAATTATCTTTTCGAGCCGACGTAACGATCGCAGCCATCGGATAAATATCTCATCCGGCCCGCCGCTCGTTTTTCCTGCTTGCTTCGCGCTTCTCTCTCTCTCTCTCTCTCTCTCCCTCTCCCCCTCTCTTCTTCTCGCTTTCTCTCTCACCTCTGGATCGATAGCGAGCTCGATCTCCGTTGCACATGCGCGCCGAACGGACCGAATCGTTAAACGCGACTCTTCCTGGAGATCCGCCCGAAACGCACTTTCGTTGACGAATTTCTTTATGCTGGCGATTCTCGCCCCCGCCGGTTCCGAGGGAGGCAAGCTCCACGGACCGGAAACGGTGACGTCTCAAGTCGCGTCGACTGTTCCTTCTCTCGCGCGCGTATGTCGCGGAGAGTACACGGCGGCGGGAAGGAGAAGGCGCGGGAAATCGAAGAGAGCGCCGCGGGCAACGTTCCGCGGACGGTCCTCGAGAACGACAGCGAGCCGCGACTCTCCACGTCGCGCTGAACCTCGCGGACGAATCTCGGGAAGAGTCGGGGTCTGCGCACGAGGTCACTTTTGCCGTCAAACTGATATGCCAATTGAATATATAGTGTAATTCCGATTGTTACGCGGTGTATTCGCCTATACATATACAATATATTATATACCTATCTCCGTGTAGGAAGTGTAGGTCGAGTATCTCCCTAGAAAAAAGGACCGTGTTCGAGGTCGCCGCGATTACTCTGGTAATGAAACGCTCGCGCGAAAAAATTCATCGATGGCAGTGCTCGTCGAGAAGGGGAGTGAGTTAGCTTCCTCCCCCGTTTTGGACGCGATGGTCGCGATTGCGTTACGCTTCCGCTTCTTCTTCTTTGCGACGCTTCGAAGCTCTCGAGGGGGGGAGAGGAAAAAATATCGTCGTTGTAACCAACAGGATCTCACGCAATCCTGTCCGCCGCGCGGTCGCTCGCAGCCTTCACCCCAAAATGTACAACGCGTCGTTTGCGCCACCACCTGCTCTTTACCTCCTGCATTCTGTTCCTTCTCGTGCAACTCCCTCGAAAATCGCGAATCGCGAAGCTGTGGGATAGAACGCGCCACGAAGCCGCGAAATTTCAAACAGCGAGCGCGCGCGGAATCGAGTTGATTTCATGAAAGATTTTCCTCGAAAATCAAGGCCCATCTCTCGGATGCATACGAAGGTCGAGTGGCAGACTGCAGTCTATTTCTTTCGAGTGAATCATTCCTGAATATCAAGTAGAACTAAGATGATTTAAACTATCCCGGCTAAAAACGATATCAAGTTAAAAGAAAAGCAGCAGTGCCCATGAAAATTTGTTTATCATCATTGCTCCTTTTTGCCCAAATAATGTCCAATTCAGTCAAAATAATCTGGATTATTTCAGCTGAATGTAAAATTATCCGGTTAAAGAAATAGCAACTCCAACGGAAACTGTTTTATCGTCACTGCTCTTTTCCTTGACCGAGTAACATCAAATCCAGCCGAAATAGCCCAGAGCAATCCGGCTGAATCTGACGTTATCTGGTTCAGAAGAACAGCAGTGACGATACAGACAACATTGAACTTGATCTTAAAACTAATTGGAGGCGATCAAGTGTTCAGGCACAATCCCGACCATCCAACAGTCATCATTGACGCGATGACAGAATGACAGGCAAAAAAAGAGGACTGATCTCACTTTCCTCGTCACGATGATGGCGCTCGTTAAGCGTCGATTCCGGTCGCGTTAACGCGATCGCGATTTCGCGAGAGTCTCGAGGAGGAACGCGTGCGCGCGCGCTCCTCAGCGGAGAGCGAGAAGTGGAACAGAATTCTGGAGTCGCGGAAGATCGCTTGCGGTGCTGGAGGGCTCGCTCGATCACGCGATCTCCCTCGTCACTCGCCGTAACGAAGTATCCACCGTACCTTCGATCCATCCGCCGGCTCCTTCTTCTTCTTCTTCCGTTGAGTGTCCCGCGGGCTACGTGGAGCAGCCCTTACGCGTATCTGTGCAAGGAGTGCTCGCGGCGCTTGCTACCTCGGCGCTCACGCTCGCAAACTGGTTCCGGACTCGGTGGATTCGAGTACGTCAGGTTGCTGGAGCCTCGAGGGGGCGGCGCGCTCATGGGGGGCGGCGGCGGCGGGAAAAAGCTCTGCAAGCACGCCTAATGCACCGAAAGAGCGCATCGTGAGACGACACTGCCGCTTTTTCGTATCCGAGTGATGACGTTTCGTGCATAATCCGCGTGGGACTGAGGTATCAGGTTGGCGCGCGCGCGCGATTTGTCGCTGTTCTATAAAATTTTCGCTCGCGGCAAATTGGCGATTCGGCAGATCGCTTTGAAGGGACACAAAGGGATCTCTCTCGTTGGATGTCTGAAAAAAGTACCGCGTCGAGGTCGTTTGTTTTACTCGCGACAACGAGTGATCTCGTTTGCCATTTTATCAGACCTTTCGCGACAACCTGATCCTTGTTCCGTTAACGCTATGGCGAACGAAAAACGTGCATTTTCTGCGGGCTTGCATAGAACTTCGGATGATTTTACAACGTTGCAAACAGTATTGGGATCTTTGAGGGATTTTTCTGTTTCTGTACTTTAATTGAGTAAAGGTAAAAATGCTCGAAGAGAAATCCAATAATCCGATATGGGAGAAATTTGACATCAGTTCAACGCGATTAAAAGAGAAATTTCATGCTTTACTTTTGCACACTCACAGCACAATTTATTGAGCTTTTGACAATTTTACAACGTTGAGACGAATGTAAAAGCACTCGAAAAGAAGTTACAAATCCGTCACAAAAGGGACTTGGACTCGGCTCAACGCGATTGAATAAGGGATTTTGTACCCTACCTTTGCGCTACCCCTGGAGGACGATTTCGAGAACACGCTGTCCTGATCGCTGCTTACGCTAGGCACGGGCATTGGTACTGCATAGTCATAAGTGGCATCTGCACAGCAAAAACATATTGTCCTTTACCATTACTCACACATATTTTATACAGTAATAGTTCAGTCAGGTTGACCCATTTATTGTATTGCGCATTTGACACCATCTATCGTAATCGTCAAAATTCGCCTTGAATTGGCGCAGTTCGAGAAGTAAACGTACGTCAGCTACACTAATTTAATTAATTAACGTGGCGCAGTCGATTCATGGTGGGGCTACTTCGCGTCTCCACTCCAAAACGTTATGGTACGTCCAAGAGGGCTTCTCGCGAAAACTCGCTCTTGTCCGTTCCAAGAGCTCGACTTACCAGACTGTTCGACGTTGTCGTGGAGGTCCTTGTTGTCTATGACGACCGTGCTGTATCCGTAGTACGCCGCGTGCGGGGATTCTCGATACTTGTTCTCGTGGAAGGGCTCCTGGTACTCGTCGAGTCTGACGTCGCCCAGGAGACGATCGTTGAGATCGCGCGGCAAGGTGGTGAGCTTCGTGCCGGCGTACCGGTCGTCGAGCTCCTCGACCCTGTAGGTCATCAGGGAGGGGTCCTTCTCCGTGGTGCCGTAGGCGGATTCCGGCGACAGATGCTGATGATTGCCGGACGGGATCGCACTCTTGGCGCCGAGCGGACTGGCAAAGTTCTTCCGCTGTCGGTGACGCGTGACTATTAGGAATATGGCGACCGCCAGCAGCAGTATCACCGCGGTCAAGATGCCGATGATCACGGCCATGTAAGTCGGATCGTCCTGCTTAGCCACCGGAACTTCGGCCTGCAGCGGATTGTCGCGGGTCGAAGTTCGGTCCCGCGGTCGCGGCGCCTCGGTCGTAGGCGGTGATTCCAGGGTGAAGTTACCGTGAGCGATGTCTGCAACACGATTGAAACACGCGCTCCTGAACACGACAGTTCGTGGCATCGATTCCGACGACGAAACTTTCGTCGTCGGGATAGAGAGTAACGTAACGTAACGACCAGATTGGAGAAGCAGCAGGTTGCGCGCGATCGCGTCGCGAAGGGAATGGCATTGCCCATATCTCAAAAGTAATGCAAATTGGAGATTGATTTGCGTTGCACTTGAAAGTATTTACAAACAATTTGACACCGAGATTCAGAGTCCGGATCGAAGATTATTCTACTTTCAAATGTAAGCCCAACAAACACGATGACGTCAACTGGTGTTCTAACCTATTAACTGGGGAAAATATAATATGGTGCGTTTTGATATTTTTAGTAGTTCAATATTTCTGAAATTAGCATTCCAAGGTTTTTTTTAAGTCACTCTACTCATTGATTAACTTCAAAATTCAAAATGGCAAACGTAATATGACCGACCTAAGATTGAAAAAAATACAATAAGTTTTACAAAAATTTTGAAACTTTGAAGTTTTAAAGATACTCTTTTCAGTTTCGAATTTTGAATTTTTGTGGTCAGAATCGACTATTATTTCTTTAAAATCTTTACTGAACGACGAGATAGAAGACAGATCAGGCATGTTTAATTTATCCAGCGAATTGCGACAAAGTTCGTAGATATTTCAAAGAAGGTTCGCGATCTTTGCGCGGAGAGAAGTCACCCCGCGGTGAGACACGCGTGATTCGAGCGGGTGGTGATGTCGTCGCGATTTACTTGGAGAAAAGCTTTCCACTCGCGAGGATGGGTCGCGCAAGCGAGAGTCTAAACGGTTGCGCAGCCCAAACCACTCACCAGAGTCAAAGGTGATCTCGCTGATCATAATCCAGCGCGAGGCGAAGGCGAACTTGAGCTTGACGAACTTGCCAATCCGGTGGTGCAGCTTGATCGTGACGTTGCGCGAATGCTCGAAGATCCTGTCCTCCATATAGGAATACACGATTGGCTCACCCAAGAAGTGCTCGCCGCCGACGCTGAACGTGATGTTGACCTCCGAGAAGACCTGCGAGACACGCGAAAAACGGGAGAACAGTTAACACCGGTGCGTTTGCACATGCCTACGGCTGTTACTCGAGGCGTCTCGCTATGCTACGCTAAGCGCACCACGCTATTCCGAACTATCGAGCTTGATTACCGCGGACAATTCGATCTATCGGATAAAGCGCGCTTCCGTGTGTGCGCGCGCGCGCGCGTCTATATGCGTGTGTGTAAATGTGTGTGCTCAGAGCCACCGTGCGGAATTAATTTGATCGGAAGCATACCGCAGGTACTCGATTACGCCCGCGTAATCAGTATTATCGCCGTTATTACCATCAGTAACAGATAACTAGTTAACGGCGCGCCGGGATGACATCGACGGTTTCGATAATACGGAGAGTATCTCACGGGTGCGTTCCGTCCTGAGGAATTGGCGGCTCGAAGGGGCGGGTGGAGCGGGAGGGGGTGGAGCGGGGAGACGCGTGGAATGCTAATTTCATCCCTCGAAGGCGCAAGACAATTCAGCGCTGGGGAATCCAAGTCTCGGGAGCCGTGCGAGGCGAACGAACGGGGTACGAAGCGAGGGAGAGAGGGAGAAAAGGAGAGAGATAGCGCGAGTGAACCGAAGCTAAGACAGCGTAGGAGTTAGGGACGAAGATTACAAAGCCGAGATTATCTAACTCCCTTAGACCCAAAGACGGAGGCGTATGGATTTTCGACGTACTGAAGCCTACCGCCCGCGGATGCGTCGGGAGAATGAGGAAGTCGACGTGGAGGAAGTGGCAGCCGTTGTAGGAAGCCGAGACTCGGAGAAAGACGAGGGTGGGCGGCGAGGAAGGCCGTAGGAGCGAGCAGAGGTAGCTCTGGCGATGCTTTGAAGCGCTGTCTTTCGGCGAAGACGTGTCCTATCCGCGCGAGTACGCGCGCGCGCGCTTGTTAATAGGAGAGGTCGTTTTAGGGGTAGCTCCTGCCACTCCGCAGCCCCATTCGCCGAACTGCCGACTTGCCAGACTGTCGGTATTGTATTTGAATACGTGGCGTATCTGCTCTCGAGCGTCGTTGCTCGTTGCCATTGTACGCGCGCCGGAGCAGAGAGAGAGAGAGAGAGAGAGGGATGGAAGAGGGTACAGCATCAGCATCCCGCTCTATCTCCCGATGCCCGTTCTCCGTGGAAACCTCTCGGGTCTTCATCTCCTTTCGTCCCTGTTCCGCGAACCTTCTCACCCTCTCGCTCCTGTTCCGATGACCTCCCCCGCGACGAGTCACCACCTCGTGGCTGCGTCGTCCTCAGCCTCGAGACTGCCTCTCATCGCCAGTCTGCCCCTTGGTTCTCCTCGCTCGATCGCGAACGCACAATCGCGCTCGAGCCGGGTAATGAGGCGCTCTATTCAAATAAATCTTGATACCGGCGGGAGAATGTTTCGGTGCCTATTATATACGAGGTGGAGAGGGGGACGAGATTGCCGCGCGCGCGTTTGCTGGATACGACGGTGGAGTGAATTTTCGCGGCTGCTAACCCAGCGCGCGTGTTGAGTTTCGTAACTTGGCGTAATCGGCCGCGCGAGCTACGAGGATCACGTAAGCGACGACACCGCGGGTATTAATTATCTTCGTGCGGTCTTACAACGACGAGGATGTGTGCGATGTAATGATGATGAGAGAGGGTCAAGGAAGGGTTGCGATCCCACGTCGATCGACGTTAATTCTCTCCGCGTTGGAATGCACAATCAGCGGGAGAGAAAAGAGAGAAGTGGCGATCTTTATTTATAAGCGTGCTCTTGTCAATCGACGTCTCGGCACAGCGCGACAGGTTCGTTTCGTAATATCTCCCGCGCCCGGAGATAAATGTCGATCCTGAACTAGAGGCAGTTTTCTCGCGCCACGGCCCGCTTCTCGTTCCCGGCGCGGACGCTTTTCTTATTTCGCGCTGCAACGTATAATTAACCGGAATCATTTTTCGCGCAACCGGCGCAATTCAGAAATCCAATTTAGCCGGAGCCGATCGAACGAGTCCCCGCTGCGATTCGCGCGAGCCACCCCTCCCCGTCCCTCCCTCCCTCTCCTCTTCTTCGGATCAGCTCGTTAAGTTTTTTTCGCCAAGTGCCGGCGACCTTTCTCGAAATTACGCTTTTCCTCCATCATTGCCGCCACCATCGCCACCACCATCGCCACCACCACCATCATCACTATCGTGTCACGAGTACATCTACGTGCCGAATTATCTTATTAAAATACATCTCACTGCGCGTGCCGTTAGCCGAGTGTTCAGCGAGCCATTATGTAAACACTCGGGCGTAAAAAGACCGTGAGGGAGGGACGGAAAAATTTTCCACGGAAAAACTGACGTCTCCGGCAAAGAGCCGCGACCGCCGCCGCCGCCGCTTGGAGCGAAACGTGGTTCCAGCGAGTCGCGAGTCGTTTCCTTTTTCTCCTTCCGTCCGTTTCAGCCGAAGCCAGGGGCTAACCGTTGTTGCGCCTCGTTACCCATCCTACGTCCGACCTTGACTCCGACGTGAAAACTGGATTTCATGCCGTACACCGCCGCCTCCTCTTTCGTCTCCTCCTTCTTCATCACCCCAACCCTGGTTTTTTCTTCCTCCTTCTCCTTTTTCTCGTTTCTTTCTGTCCCTATCTCTTTCTCTCTTTTTTTTTTTCGTTATTCTCCGGGTGTGGATTAAAGGCTGGCGGAGGATCTTCTCGCGCGCGCGCTCGCACATTTCGCCGCGACTGTCTCTCTTTCCTTTTTGCGCCTCTTTCGTCTGTCCCCTTTCTCCTCCACCTCCACCTCTCCCTCGGCCTCTCGTCCAGGCCAGCTACTTTATTCAGCAGCCGTTTCGTTCTCACCGGCGTGTCACTGCGCCGCGAGGCATTCCAATTTCCTCTCTGTACCCTACGCGTATCCGTTTACAGTTTTTCCCCGTTTATTATCGCGCGAATACGCGTGGCGGATGCGCGTTACCCCGAGACCAGGTCGAATTCGCAGCTGGGGGATGAATGTAAGACGCGCGAGGATGAACGCGACGGCCGTGGTGCACAAATCTCGTGGAAAGATCGACCTTCCGTCAGAAATCGAACTCATAGGTGTACTAACTACTTCAGTAATATTCAGCAACTCGCCAGTGTACGTAGTTGTAAAAGTCTCGAAGAGATGCATGGTCGCATGAAATTAAGGATTTGCAAAAGTTCATCGGATCGTCGATGATTTCATTATCTAAAAACTTACTCATTTTACAGACATGAAGTCAAACATTTATCTTCTATTAAAAATGGTAGAAAGGGGTGGATAAGGAGTGACAAGTACTCTGAACATTTCAATGTCTTGTAAGTATTAATCTCTTAAGAACCACAATTATTGCATGAACATTTTGTATCAGTCTGTTCATTTCTTAAAGGTCCCACATTAGTATTAGAATTAACAAAGGAAACTGAAAACTTAGAAGAATCCAAAAATCAATTTTTTACTTTACTATTTTATACATTATGAGAGCTTTTATATATCTTATTGAAAGCATAAGTATAATTGGAAGTAAAATGCTGAAAATGCAAAAATGAAATTACATATGAGTCAAGTGATTTTATTCAGTGAGAAGAGAAACGTGCCATAAATGGGACACTTTCGTGCTAAAACCCGACCAACTTTTGCAAGTTCCCGTTATACGTGACGATCCAATTCTACGTGTCCTCCGCGTTACAAACGCCTCTGAATCGAATGTCTCCCGTGCTCGGACGAGCGTGAAACGCCAAGCCGGCCCCCTTACCTGCACGTCCTTGGTGAACTGATTGTTGCAGTAGATATGGACGGCCGAGAACTCGCGCACGTGATCGAACTCGAATTTGATCTCGAGCGGGTGGCCGGACTTGGTATCGTTCTTCCAGCCGACCCAGCCCTGACCTTTCTCGTCGTAATAGCCCATCTTGAAGTTGTCCGGCCCGTTCTTGCCGTCCGTCAGTTGTCCCAGACCGCGCAGTAGCTGTCCGTCCCAATAACCGTCGTAAGTCACGTCGAAGAACTCCCAATTGTTGCGCTTGTCACCTTGCGGCATCGAATACGAGACGATGCCGTCGTTCCATGGGCAACCGTAGAGCTCGACGCGCATGCAAACGGTACGACGGTGGTAGCTGTAGGGTAGGAAACGAATTTTGGTCGCCAATATCGGTGGCTGCAGTTCGTGCTTCGATTCCAGGTAGGTGTTGCTATTACCTTCGATCACCTGGGCGAACAGAATATACAAACAGAAAAGTTAGTATCGTCGTCGTATGTTATCAGATACTTAATATTACCAGTTAGATTTGTACTTAATTCTCAGTCAGATTACCTAATATTATCATATATTAGGCATTCTCCCGACGCAAAACCTCTCTCTTTCTCTCGTCTCTTTGGTCCAAAATAATAGATGAGCACCGCTAACTGCTATTAGGACATAACCGCGTCTCATTAAGTCACATATAAGATACAATCACAAGTATATGTATTTAAAACTTTTTTTTAAGTTACCTCTTAAATATTAAATTTAAAATATTAGTAATTTTGGCTAATAATAGCTAATCTCGATAAAAGACATGTACATTTCGAATTATATTTCTTCGCCGTACTGTGAAATGTTTCTTTTCGTATCATATACTAGGCAGAGATAATCAAATTTACTATTTCCATATTTGCAATATAGTTGCAATCTGTCGCGACACAACTGACAAACTTCGCAGCTAAATTCAAATTGGAATCTAACTGTCTCGCCTGAGACAAGTTCCAAGCGACAACTATTGATTAATATTCGTCCCCCTCTTCTTCCCCCTCCCTCCCGAATTCTAATGAATACCCGAGAGCTGAATTTGTTCACGTCGACGTTTCGGCAGAAGGAGAGTCTAGACTTTCGCGGACGATTTTACCTTATCATATCCGACGGAGACACGCGTAACGGATCGTGATTGGCAGAAGGAAGTGTAACGTCGCGCTTATACCGTCCACGGGGCACGTCGCGCCGATCTGTCAATGAATAAATAGACGCGCAGCGCTGCGCTCGTGCTCCGTCCTAACCCATTCCGTTCCACGACATCGGGCCTCAACGTCTGGGATGAATCAGCGTTCGTATAACATCTTGACCCTTGCCTCATTTACGGACATTCAGCCGGCGAATGTCGGCGAGATAGCGGAAATTTTTCGTCGACCCGTTAATATAAATTGCGCCACGGCGCGAGCGTGCCGCGTGTGATTTCAGACTTGCTCTCTCGCTCTCTCTTTTTCTCTAAAAATCTACTCCCTCTCTCTCTCTCTTTCTCCCTCGCATAGAACAAGGCTCGTTCTATTCGATCGGTCGGGCGCGCGAGGGACGGTCGAAACGCACATATCGCCGGGGAGAATCGGGAATTTCTCGGACGACGGCGTCGCTCGTCGAGGGAGGAGAGGCCCTTCGGAACAAAGGACCTCTTATTTTCCACTTATGAACTCGCCAGCGCCTCTCGACTCGACGCTGTGCGCGTGAGCGGGCGCGAGAGATTCTCACGTATGGTCGGTGTTACGTGACCGTGTAACTATCGCCGTCGTGATCCCGACAGGTGCGAACGCTCTTCTCTTCTCTCTATTTCACGCTTCTCTCCTCTCTCTCTCTCTCACTCTCGCATGCTTCCTCCGCACACTCCCTATCTCGCTCTGTTACCTGTTACAGGTACACTCGTCGAGCGTGAACCGGCGCGTTCGTTGCGCGCCGTGATCCCGTCGTGCAACGCGATTTTAATCGATCTAATACGCTTAATCGAGTTCCCGTTGCGATTAGATTTCATTGCGGACGGAATAGTCGGCTTCTGGGAAGCCAGCGGGTGTCGGTGGACGTGAAATACATGCGGTAAGGCAAACACGGTGTCTACTATTTCACCCATTAAAAGCATTATAATTATTTCATTTTTAAGGGATTTGGGCCTATTCATTTATGAAAAGTCTGAAATTAGTATTAGGACTTATTGGAGGCGTAAATTGGAATTAGATGTGAAAAACATAAAAAGAATTATAAATTTATTTGATTTAGTCAAAAAGAAGCATCTCATAAATGAGATGCTGGCCGTTAATGGATTCAGTAAAATATACAAAACTGAAGGCGAGTTGAACGGCGAGTCTTCTAGTCCCGTTGGGTATTCATTTTCCTACGAGGCAGCGACTATTTTCGCTTCCCCCGCTTCTGCGCGCACCTCCCGCCAGCCGGCAACGAGTTGACTTACGATCGCGATGGGAAACACGTTTAAAGATGATTCTCGCGACCGCGCGAACCGGCACGTTCCGCACCGGGTGGCGCGGTAATTGGGGCCCCGGTAGCTGACACCGTTTTATTTGCGCCGCGACACCGGTGCCCGATGTTTAGCACATCGGAACCGAGGTCGGTACCGAGGCGTCGAGCCGGGGCAAATACAATGAGCCGGCACGTGAGAAATTTTCTGCCGGGCGACGGAACCACCACCGTCGTGGGCGTTTCCGGAGGTTGACAGTTACGTGTATTGCTTCGCAGAGTGTACGTAATAGCTTCCTGTCTCTTTTCTCTCACTCTCTCTTTCTCTCTCTCTCCGATGATTGCGCTCGGAAGAGTACGAACCATTTTTACGCGCCACAGAGCGAGAAGGGGTTGAGACTTGTACATGTTAATGGGACGCGAATTAGCCCCGTAGAATACTGCGCGGGCAATAAGTATTAATTACCACACAGAAAGAAATGCGTGAAGAATTCTTTTTCTATTGGCGTATTTTAGTAATTTTCACGTAAGAGAATACGGGAGAAAATGAATTTTGTGCTTGACAATCCGCACGAATTTTCCGGACAATCCAATGCTACGAAGAAAGGAACGCGCGAAAAATTCTCTCTCTTCTGATGTACTTTAGCCATTTGGATTACATCGAGATATATGTGTCGTAATTTCCTCACGATTTCCGCGTCGTGTTAATTTACTGTGGGACAGAGCTCGTGTGAAATATCAATTATTAAACGAACAAGAACTGCGGAAGAGACGATTGTGCCACACGCGAGAGATTCATCTCGCCCCCTCCTTCGCGGGTGACGGCCGTGTGTGCATTGAGATATATCGCGATATCGTAATTTCCCCGTAACATGTGTTCCGTGGTTTTTCCCCCGCAGGTCGAACACATTGCCGCGGAGCGTTTTGCTCGTATTGAAAAATTGTCACGTTGTTAAATTATTCATCCCACCTTGCTGCCCTTAAACTGATGTTCGAGTGCGGAGAGAATGTGAGAGAGAGAGAGAGAGAGAGAGAGAGAGAGAGAGAGAGAGAGACGCGTCGTATGTTTCTTATTACACACGCCGCGCTTATATCGCGATACGCGTCCTTATTTTGCATACCGGCTCTCGTTTATCGGATTCGTCGCATGGCTCAACTATTCCACCTTTTTTTTACGGCGGTGACTCACGATTCGGCGCGCGACCCTTCCCGCTCTCCTCGAGAACGCGATTCCCAAAAGATCCGTGAGCGGAGAAAACGAGGAACAGGAGGAGGAGGAGGCGGTGGAAGAGAAGGAGGCAAATTACGACGGCATTTACGAGCCGTTGAGACGCGCGCCAGGAAAAATAAGTAATCTCGATATTTATCTTCGCGCCCACGCTCGTCGCGTCGCGCAGGTCGGTCGAAGCTTGTCGCCGCGCTTTGCCCCGAGGCTTCCCTGACATTCTCCGCCACGTGTTGTTCGCCGAGGGCACAGGCCCGTCGAACGGTCCCCTCGAATTAGCCCCCCGATTGCTGCCGTTACTCGTCGCGAAGGCGAATTCCTACGAGCAGCGTGGCCTGATGAGACCCTAAGCACCCGCGAGGGGTGTGGCGGGTGCACCAACGCCCATTTTATGTTAATGTTTGTGGCGGAGTCGGATCTCTGAGTGATGGTGGTGCGCTACCGTCGAGCCTGTGGAGACAGGGAACGACTCAGAGGCGGCGTTGATGGCCGCGTGTCGTCGCGGAGGATCTTACGGCTTAATTTAAATGGAAATGCCCGGTGGGTGGTCGCCGAAGGCATCGCGCGCGGATTTGCGCGTTATCCTGGCGTGATTTGCGTAGGAATTATCGATACCTGTCGCGCTGAAAGATCGCTATCTTTCAGTCTGGCTGTCGGCAGGCGCGAAGCAAAAGCAGGATAGAGAGAGAGAGGGAGGGGTCATCGCGTGTCTTCGTGATAATTTCCGTCTGACGCTTTTATTGGACGATTCGATTGGCTTCTAGGTCGTTAAATTTAATAACCGTAGGCCGCGGGCGTTTAGAGTTTATCGGCCGTAAAAAATAGGCGATGACACGCGCGCCGCACGGTTTCCAGCGCCGTCGTGGACGACGGCGTCCGCGGCGGATCGGGTTGTTAAGAAAGATTATGCGTCGGATAAGCCGAGTGTCGTTGTGTAATTAAGCGAGGGACAGCCGCGCGGCCCAGCGGGAGGAAGAGACACAAATTTCTGCGGGTTTATCCCTACCCGAGCGGCGCGCGTTCTGGGTGGGCCCTTCTCGTTCTGTCGAGCAGGTACCCGTGCTTCGTGGCTACGACCAAATTATACCGGGACGCCGTCGCGAATGTCGCGGGAGATGAAGAATATTTTGCGGATACTTGACTCGTGTCGCGTGTGTGTTGTTATTCTCTCTTTTACATCGGCGGTTCCTCTCTCTTTCTTTTTTTCAACAAGATACCACGTCGCTTGTAAATTCCCGGCCGGAATGTCCGCGCTGTGAATCAGTGTGCGAAAATAGTTGCCGCGCGTAATTTCTTCATGCGGGACGACGCGCTTCAGAACGCTCTCTTTTGCGTGGAAACGACGTGAGCTCGGAGCGATAAAGTGGTTAAATTTTTAATTCACCAGACAATTTTTTTAGAGACGGTGTGTGACTCTAGAAAGTAATTTCAGAGCTGGAAATGTTTTAAAAAGTTATTACAGAAAGGAGAGTTTTTTAATTAGAGCTAAATTCTCGACATTTTTCGCACTTTATGCCTTCTAAAAATCTAAGAAGGAGAGTGATTATCGTACGTCTGATCGCAGTCGGAACTCAAGTCGGAAAGGTCCGTTTCAGAAAGAGTAATTTCAAAATTAAAGTTGAAGTTCTTTGTGTCTTAAACTCTTCGACATTTTAACTCGCTTTGCAAAAGCGGGAGACTAATTGTTGGGATGTTCCGCTCGATAATTCGCCTAATCGCAGCCAGAACTGGAACTTCCGGCCGCCATGGCGGTACCAGCAGCGGTCTCCGGCTTTTCAGTATCGCCGAACGGCAATTCGAAGTGCTAAAACGCGCCATACGGACGAGCTGCGGCTTTTCATTAAACACATATCTCGACATCGGTATAAATATTCGCCTCCCCAAGTAGGAATTTACTACTGGCATCAAAATGGCCCAGTACTGATTTATGGTAAACGTTACTGGCATAGTACCAGATGCCAGTACGGGTTTAGTATTGGCGTGATACCGGGATGATAGAAAAGGGCCAGTATCGGAAAACAGTACTGTCACAGTACCGAAAATCAGTACTGTACCAATATAAAAAAAGTATTGATTCCTAGCACTGGGGAAGTATCTATTCCCAGTACTAGACCAATATCGATTCCTAGTAATTTTTATTATTTGTACAATTGTTAATATCACAACTATATAGAAAGAAAGATCAGATCATGGCCAGGGTTGCTCTCATACCTATACAGGCCTATTTTTAATAGTCATATGAGGAAAAAAACCTCCGGCGGCGGCTGGAATCGAACTCGAGTCTTCCGCTTGTTAGGCAAGCGTTCTTATCATTGAGCTATCTGAGGTTTCGCGTTAGTGACTTTTTCCGTTTTCCCATAAAAGATATTGGTATCGTCCGTTTTTCGGCTGGCCCAATATTCTCCATTAGCAGATTGTATACGATTTTTACTTAGGTATCCGGTACTGATTCTACGAACAGGGCCAGTACCAATAATACAGCTTTTTTAATACTGGGCCAGTACCGAAAGAGACAAACATTTTTCGGTAATGCCCCAATATACATACAATACGACTATCCAGTACCTAACCTTAATACAGAGCCAATACTAATAATACAGCTTTTTTATATTAGGTCCAGTACTGAGCCAGTACCAAAATCGGATCCGCTTTTCGGTATCGACCCAGTATCGGGCCATTTTTCCGTATTGGCGAAACGTATACGATTCCTACTCGGGTCGGTATCCGGCTGAAAGTAGCACAAGTCGTGTTCGACCGTCGCGGGGGAGTACTCGGATAGAAATGTCGCCGCTGATGGTACACATGGTAGCAGCCGCCGCCACGTATCGAGGAGAATATATTCGCGAGGGCGAATCTTCCTTGGCAGAGTTGTGCATGCAAACGCGCGGCAGTTCCTCCGGCTTCGACCTTCGCGTCTCGGGCGTTCGTTGCCGAAGGAGTCGCGTATTTCAGACCAGGTACACCGCACGTGTGTATGTAGGTGAGGGCGGCTCGGAATCGTCCGAGCCGCGTGCACGCTACGACCTTCCCTTCCCTCATTTTATTGATCCGCCCTCCTGTACAAATAAGCCCGCGTAGCACCACCCTCGCCTCGGCCGCACCGGCTGAGGAAAGTTGGCCTGCGACCCGGCTCTACGACGACGACGATGACGACGACGACGACGACGACGACGACGACAAGCGGACGCCGCTCGTCCCTCTTTCCTTTCGTCGCTTCCGCGAAATCGATGACACTCCGAACCGCGAGTGAGAGCGACTAAGCAGCGTTTATTATTGTTCCGGAGTGCACTCTCCGTTTTACGACATGATTACCAAGATTTTGCTCGATAGAGTGCAAATATTGCGCGACTAAGCATCGCCTCGTTTGGCTCACGTTTGAAAGCGCAAATTAAAACCAAATCAGTGCTGAAAATAAATAGGAGAAGAGAGAGAGAGAGAGAGAGAGAAAATCGCGAAATCTAACTGTAATTAGACGAATCGAGCAAAGCACTGCGATAATTAGTCTACCGCTTTTGCAAAGCGAGTTGAAATATCAAAGAATTCTAAGGTATAAAAGACTTCAAGTTTTGAAATTCCTCTTCCTGAAACCGACATTTCCGACTCTGACTGCGACGAAACGTGTCATTGAGTGAAATTTCCGCGGAACGCAAATATTGTGGTTAAATCAACACCTCGTTTGACTTACCGTTAAAAATGCAAATTAAGACCTTGATTCCTCAATGTTGAGGAAAGAGAACAGAGAAAGAGAGAGGGAGAATTATCCGTGAGAGTTGCGTGTTTCCGCGTGCCAAGGCGGGAGTAGACGTGCGCGTGTGAGGGTGTTGAGTTAAATCAGCAAACGCGGTTGCGAATGACTTTATGAGACGGGCGAGTAGACCCGCGCGCGCGCGCGCGTGTTCTCGGACATTTCCTGCGTTTCGACGCGCGGTATGTCGCTTAATTCGGCGAGTTTACGGATCGTGGAGATTTACGGGAATCGCATTGCGTCGAGGAGCGTGTCGCCTCGGGGCGAAGAGCTGTTTTGACTTCGCGCGAATTCAGTAACCGAAGAGAGAGAGAGAGAGAGAGAGAGAGAGAAAGAGAGACGCGCGTCGCGTCGCGACGAACGAACTCGCGGTGAATAAATCGCGGCGAGCCGCGTTTTCGTCGGGCGAGTAAATCCCGGCGCTGAGCGTGTGATTATCGTAGCGGGTGATGCTAATTAAAGGACTCGCGGGGGTTCACGATAAACGGTATGGGTATATCCGCGCGTGAATTACGTCATGTGCGTTGGCCGTGCTCTTTCTCTCCCTTTCTCTCATTCTTGCATTTGAGCCAGGTACCTCTCTTTCTCTCTCTTTCTGCCCCCCTCTCTCTCCCTCGAGCCGAGCACGCCGCGTATTACATCGGAGATTTACGTCTTGTTAACGTCACGCTTTAGTTACTACTCGTGGTCGCTCCGCGGACTCGCGGACACCGCTACAAATCATTCGCAATAATCCGCGTGCGCGACCGCCCGTCCGCTTTATGCGTATCGCCCGCGACTAAATTTAACCGCGTGGCTTCGTCTATACGTGGCCTGCGTCTCGCGGCGAGTCAGCTCGGCGAGATGTCTCTCTATGACCGAATATCTATAGAAGAGAGAAAGAGAGACAGAGGGAGAGACAGAGGGAGAGAAAGAGAGACAGGGAGAGAGAGAGATAGAGAGAAGGAGACAAGATAGATAGATGGATTTATTTAACCCTTAGGGCGAGACCCTTTGAGGTACACAGTATTATGATACAATGTGGTGAAATTGCACGTGAATCTCCTGAGTACACTGATACATATAATAAAGAAATTGAATGCAGTATTGTGTATGGAGAGAGAGAAAGAGAAAGATAGATAGATGCGTCTCAAAGCTTAGTCCTTTAAAAACGCTCACAAAGAATGAATAAATATGATGATAAGAAGTAATGAAATTCTGATATGACAAGTAATTACAAGAAGCAGCAAAAAGTTTGCAAGAAAAGGTTAAGGATACTCAGAGAAAATAGTAGTGGCAACTATATAGGTGATAATTATACGAGTTTTATATGTAGGATTAATGTACACGATTTAATAAATTATTTCATAATTATAATTAAAACTGAATGATGATTGCACTGAGAGAAAAATTGTCTAAAAGCTGAAAAATATTTATTCGCTGGATATTGATAACATAACTACTTAAATATAAATACTTTTATTTAAATAAAATAAGTAATTGCTTTCTTAAAAAGTTCCGGTTTTAAGAAAATATTTTAAGAAAACACTAAGAAAAAAATACGTGAAAATTTTTATTTAATTTTTACTTCTCTAAGTGTGTACAATTATCCGTGTCTTTCCTCTTGTGGGTGTAGATAAACAAACATATCGGTGCAAGAAGCAAATAACTATACCAACTATACCAACAAAACGGAAAGAGAGAGAGAGAGAGAGAGAGAGAGCAAGGAAGAAAGACGAAGTGGTCGGCAGATTGTGCATGTTCGATAAATTTCGCGAACTTTTCAACACTCGTGCTCGACAAATCTCCGCACACTTTGACCCACTACCTCGCGCGATCTATAATCGCGGCGTTCCGCACCGTTGCATTATTTCGAGACACGCTACTGACCCCGATCGCTCCTTCTGTCATATCCCGTAATCGCTCCCTGATAACAGCGACCCCGATAAACGGAGGTTCGTGCAACGTCATTATATTACGTATACTCGCGCAAAGACGCCGCTTCGACGACGATTTCGACGGAGACTCGCTCACACTGACCTCTTCACCGCTAAAGTCCCGGTAGCGCACCCATTTCCCCAGCTTCGGCCGCCAGTACTCGAGCAGGTACGCCTCGGAGAACTCGGCGCCTTGGCCGTTACCGAAGCGGCCCTGAGTGCCGGTCGCGGTGATCATGTGCACCGTGTGGAGATCGATTTCCAGCCACTCGCGCGGCTCCGTCGTGATCTGCTGCTTCGGACACCAGGCACCGCCGTGGCTCTCCTGCTTGAGTCTGGAAAGATAAACATTTGCCTTGGGATTACGGACCTTTTATTTTCTCTTTGCCGCTTTCTTAACGCGCGCACCACGGTCGCCGAAGGGTGCCAAAGAGAAGGGGAGAGAAAAACGCAAGGTCTCTCCTCCGGGGGGAAATCCTCTCTCGCCGGAGGAGGAAAATGGTCGCCGATCGCGTGATGCTTTTATGGATTCATACATTTTTAGTCGCCATGTAAATTCGAGGGGTTTACCATATTTCGATTCGCAATACTCCCCGTTTATAGTTCTGCGCGGGACGAGCGCGAGTATGTACAGTTTACACAAATACATACACATACATGTGCACGAGTGTACACGGTATCTTGGAATTATGTAAACATCCCCGCATACGAGATGAACGGGGGAATATAGCGCGCGAATGCGGCTTCGTAACACGAGAGACGACAACGTCGACATTGTGTCTCGGAACGTCGCCCTTGGGACCCGCGACGACGCGGCAAGAATTCGCGGCCGCGAGTCCGAGTCCGATAAGGAGAGAGAATGAGAGAGGGAGACCGTTATCGCCCTCGTACGGACGTTCCAGCGAGCGGAAACGTGGCGTGGTCGCTCAAAGGAAATCATATAAATACGTGATCGGCCGCGTGTCTGACGGATAACCGTCAGCCCGACGGCGCGCGATACGGGGTGAAATTATAATTTATCGATCGCGCCGAGGCCCCGGATGACATGAATTAAAGATGAGCCGGTAGCACCGTCGCGAGAACCATCGCGACGAAGCCACTTCGTGCCGGCTAATAATTGTATTCGCGTATACCTTTCGCTAGCACGTCTGCGACGTCAAAAACCTCTTCCATTCTCTCTCTTTCTCTCTCTCTCTCTCTCTCTCTCGCGTCTTTTCGCTATTTCTTTCCCTTTCGCAGTCCGCGACACGGCCGTGAAATATACCGCGCGTCGAGTTGCCGCGAACGATTCCACGGCTCGTAAAGCAAGTCGACGAGTCGGCGAATCTGTTTCTCGAGCTGCGATTATATTCTGACTGTATCTGCTTTTCTGATTCTCAAACTGTGAAGCAATCCCTTACAAAAGCTTCCCAAGATAAAAGCGTAAATACCGATTGGAATGCTATTTTTTTTCAATCATTAACTTACACTTACAGTCCTTAGACATCTATATAATTCGTAGACTTCCCAATTAGAATCTACCAGTTTTTGGAGAAAACATAGATGAATTAGATTCAATTAGATTTCAGAAAATTTTTTATGCGGGACCAGAATCCATTAATTATTTTAGAGAGTCGAATTGAATTCCAGCTAGATCCCAAGAAATTTTCTATGTTATACACGATGCTCATATAAGAAAACCAAAACTAGTCACCTGGATTTGAAATTTCTTTGGATTTATCGACGTGTTAATCGAGCAAATGTTCGTGGAATGTCTCGCGAATAACACGCCTGCGCAAAGACGACGTGAATGTTCTCGTCGCGGGCCCGTTATTAACCGCGAGAAGGGTTTATGAGGGGCTCGTTTCTTCTTTGGGGAATCTGAGGGGGCAAGTTGCGACCAGACTATTTCGCACAAAACAAGACGGGAATGAGTGTTCGTCGAAGAAAAATTCGAGGAGCGAAAGAAGAAAAAGAGAATGAAAGAGAATGGAAGCGAGAGAGAGAGAGAGAGAGAGAGAGAGAGAGAGAGAGAGAGAGAGAGAGAGAAAGAAAGAGAGACATAGCGAACAGAAGGGGGGGTAGTTGTAGACGCGGGTGGCGCGGCTGCCAAATGAATCCGCCGACGAGACTCGTATACGCGCCCGGCAAAAATGTTCTCGCGCAATAAAGAGGTGAGCTACCGAGCTCTCTGAAGTGTCAGAACTTTAAGTGTTGCTTTGACGTGGGGAGGGCAGTAAAAGCGGCCGACCGGAGGGCGGAGAGTATTCGCCTCCGCCCTGTCTCTGTGAGAGGGCGCCTTCTGACGCGGTTTGGCAACCAGAAGAGAGAGAGAAAGAGAGAAGAAGAAAAAGCGAGAGAGGTAGAGAAGAGACACGTTGAAACAGCGTGAGAGAACGAGCAGAGACGCGGCAGAAGGAGAGGCAAAAAGGGAAAGAGCGAGAGAAAAGCGGCACATACGTTCACGTGCAAAAGAGAGTCCCGAAACGAGCACGGACGCGGCGAATAGGAGAGCGAGCGAGCGAGCGAGCGAGCTGGAGGAGAAGAAAGAGAGGGAGAGAGACGAGTAATATCCACCATCGCGAGAGATCATAACTCATAGCCCATTAAGAGGCCTCGAACTGCCCGGGCTGCCACTTTGATACAGTCTGGGGCATCAAAGACATTCCGCGCGCACGGCGCAGCCAGTGCGCCCCGGGTCCGCGATAAATCTCGGGACGGACGATTACGCCGACTTGAAGCCGCGAGAGCTGCCACGTCGGCGGAATCGGAGCGCGTCCTCGGACGGGATCGAGGGGCCGATTATCGAGAGGAATGGTTCGTCGAACGAGAGGGATCGCGCGCGTCGCCCCTCCGACCCCGCCAAATGATCCGCGAGCTTCGCCGTTATCGAGGTGAGTGGGGTCCTCTCTCTCTCTCTCTCTCTCTCTCTCTCTCTCTCTCTCTCTCTAGAGTCTCGATCGTCGATCGAGTTACTCCTCTTTCCCTCTGGAAGACGTTTCTCAGTCTGAACGACTGTTTACACGACGGTTCCTGATTTCTGTGCCGACATTTTAGCAATTATTATCACGGTGATTGCGTTAGATTACACGGGATGATCAAATTCTATTGAGTTACTTGATAAGTTCGTAGCGTTTTTGGTATTTGAGAAGTTCTATTTGAAGAAAAATGAACAGCAATGTGTACTCGCCTCTCCCTCTTCCCCCCCATTGTGGTTCACAACATTTTCTTAATATTCAGCAAGTTTTTCTGCACCGTTCTTGTGAAGAAGTAGGTATATCTGGTTAGAAACCCACACACGCTGTATCGAGCAGCAGCGTTTCAGGGTAAACGGATAGGCAAATAGGTTATTCACCGGGAAGCCCGCAACATCGCGAAGCCTCGGCGGTGCCGTCGAAGACGACGAGTCTGGTCGGTCCGCCGCGTACGCGATAACACGACCTCATCGTTGCATCGAAGGGACTCTCGCGCGCGACGTGGTACTCTATTGTGTCTTCCGCCACACACACCCACACACATACGTAGAAGTTTCCACCCCCGATCCGACTATGCGACCTCAGCACCTTGGCGCGGCTCAATGCGCCGCGATTAATTTTACGCGATTAATTTCTTTCGCCGGCCACGTTCGCACGCCTTGATGATTGATTAATGCCGACGGCTCGATTGAGATACGTTCCGCGCGGAATATCGAAAATTCACGCAGGTTAATGCCGCAGAATTTCAATTATGGGCGAGAAAGGGCGGCACTGGCGTCTTTCGCGAGCGCGCGAGACTTCATTAGCACGGTAGGTGGTCCTGGCGATTCCTCCTCATGTTTGGACATCCGTTCCACCGTCGCCCGCGTCGTTTCCTTATTCCCCTCCGCCCGTCCCCTACTCGTCCCCGTTTCGTCTCGTGTTTGTCTCGGCGGAACGGTAATTAGTTGACACGCGTAATCAAAGGAGTATGCGACGAATATGCGTGCGTCAACCACGAAAATGTCTATGGGGTCTCCGGAGCGGCCGATACAAATGGTACCGCATGCGGGATCCCGAGGACGCGTCATTAATCCTCATCGCGTGGCTCGAAGGCCGAATTAGACGTCCGGCGGTTTAGTGGGGCGTGATTAATACATGGGACGACTGCTCGAACTCTCCCGATCGTCCGGACTATCTCTCTCTCTCTCTTGAGAGGATCGACAGAATGACGGACGTGTCGTCCGTACGACCCATCGAATCGTCGTCCTAAGCTAGTTGATGACATATCGTTCCACGAAGCCGATGACTCCACTTGGTTGGCTCGCCATCGCTTCCGCTGGAATGTCAATATCTTAAATAGTCCCATCGAAAGCGAGTTATGAGCGGACGTTCGTATCGAGAAGTTCGCCACCCGGCTTCGTGGTTAAGACGTTGCACACCGCATATATATATATATATATATATATATATATATATATATATATATATATATATATATATAT